ACCAATATTACAGCTCTGTCATGACTAATGTAACCAAACATTCCGTTTTGGACGGGACTGTCCCTTTTTGTAATTACCAGTCCCGAACTCCCCTCCGAAAGGAACAGTGGATCGCAAAATTGACCCGTTTACGGAATATTGCGTAGTCAGTTGGTTGTGATGTTGATAATTAACGTGAATATAAAAATAGAAACCTTCAAAGGAGTTTAATTCTTCTTCACTAGCGATATTAAAGCAAATTTGTTTTTAATTCATAACTTTTAAGGTAACTTTAAATAATAATTCAGTATAACAGATAGGCAACGAAAAAAATTACTTTTCAAAAATTATAAATATATTTAAAAAGAGGGTTTTTTTCCATTGATTATCTTGATCTGGCATTAGTTATTTGCATTTTAGTATACAAGGAATTTTCACTTAATATCATATATATAAGAATACAATATGAATAAACTATCTGTTTGCGATCGCAAATAGCCCTTTACTTTATTTAAAAATAAAATTTCAAATTTCAAATTTCGAACGTCACGCACAGAACATCGATGATATTTTATATACAATTTTGCACTCCTTCTCGAACATTCCGTGGCGTCATTATTAAAATCAACGTACAATACATTCAAAATATTCTTTTTATTTCAATTTAAAACAAATCAACCACTGCAATATTCCTCCAGCAAACACTATCTTTAAAAAAACAAAATTTTGTTCAGTGTTCTTGTCAGTTCTTCTCAATTGAATCTGTACACTGAAATTTTCAAGAAGGGTATATTAAGGTTTCTTAAGGGTAGGCAACGCGCATGTGACACCCCTGGTATCTCAGGTATCCTTAGGCTATGATAACCATTTACCATCAGAAGGACCGTATGCTTGTTTACCAACAGCGTAGTATAAAAAAACTGAATTGGACGGTAGGAAAAATATTAATAAAAGAAACTAGTCATTCATAAACAGCTAATATGTCCTACATGAATAAATGATTTTAGACTTAGATTTTTTGATTAATTGACCGAAATAAACCAGTCCCGTTTTGATTCAAAGAAAACGTGGCCATTTAGGCCACGTTAGGCACGACCGATACCACGCCCTCAATCCTATTGAGCGTATACGGGTTCAATTAAAAGAATCATTGCTATCCAATGATTGAAAACATTCAAATTCAAAATATCTTTATTCATGTAGTTCTATTACCGACTCTTATGATATATCAAATCTACCGTCAGTTCGGAATGATTTCGAGATGAGAAAAACTGACAAGAAACTGAGAAAATAAATGTTGTACATGTTAACAATAATACACAGTCATTGAAATCAAATTTGGGAGTATAGAGTAACCACCAGCATATGCTATTGCAGAGAACAAAAAAATTTATCAGTGTTCGCAACCTGAACAGACCAGTCCCCACAAGCAGCACCCATTTATTATGTACTGTATTTCCTGTTTAAAATCGGTATTGACTGACGAAAGGACTTTTTTGATTGAATTAATGATTGAAAGAACAATAGCTATAAAAAAATTGTATTCAACAAAATTTAATTTGCTTTTATTGCTAATATTCTATTTTGTATAGAAATGGGCCTATTCATTAGAATTTAATTATAATTGTTAATTTTATTTTGCATGTAATTTAATAAATTAGTTATCTACATATATATAAAAATCTTAGTAGATTTTGTATAAATTTATCTGCTTAATTTATATTATATATATGTGTTATAGATATTTAATGAAGACCTCGGTGGTCTAGCGGTCTAGCACACCGCTTTACGTCCGATGGTCGCGGATCGATTCCTCGCATGGCACAAACATTTGTATTCATGAGTATGATTGTTTGTTATTTATGTATGTATTTACGAAAAAAAATATCTATATATATGTATCAGTTATCTAGTACCCGTAACACAAGCTTTAGATAGCTTAACTTGGGACTAGATGGCGCTGTGTGAATTGTCCTGAGATTATTACTATTATTATTATTTAATAACAGATAAATATGTAAATGCGTACATAATATACATACAAAACACTCAGACCCATACAAACAATCATACTCATAAATCCATCATCGGAAATAAATTGGGATCTGAAGCCTTAAAAACTCTTTTTTAGTACAATTTTATAGATTACTTATTTATTTTTTTGGATTTGATTGGCAGCATCCGGGAAGCTCCGATATATATTTCCGTCCAAATTACCGCAGTGTCTCAAGACGAAGGTTTACGACCAATGTGTGTTGCCAGTGATGACTTACGGCACAGAGACGTGGTCCCTAACTATGGGCCTCATGAATAAGCTCAGAGTCACTCAAAGGGCAATTGAGAGGGCTATGCTCAGAGTTACTCTGCGTGATCGAATCAGAAATGAGAAGATCCGCAGAAGAACCAGAGTGACCGACATAGCCCGAAGAATTGCGAAAGTGAAGTGGCAAAGGGCAGGACACATAGCTCGTAGCACAGATGGCCGTTGGGGCAATAAAGTCCTCGAGTGGCGACCGCGGATCGAAAGACGCAGCGTGGGAAGGCCTCCAGCAAGGTAGACCGAGGATCTGGTCAAGATCGCCAGAAGGCATTGGATGCGAGCAGCGCAGGACCGATCGTTGTCGAGATCTTTGGGTGAGACCTTTGTTTAGCAATGGACGTCTTCTGGGCTGAGATGATGATGATGATGATATATTGAATGCTTGATAGACTTAATACCTGATGGAATTCTCTACCAGTCAACCGTCGCGTTGATCAGAGATAATAAAGTAGAAATAAAAATAGAAATAATCTTTATTCAAATAAATTTAATATAAGCACTTTTGAATAGTCAAGTTTTTTTATTCTACCGCTTATTCGGAATGCAGATTCATCACAAGAAGAATAAGCAAGAAACTTATGTGTTGCTCTTTTAAATAAATATTGATTTACTTATATTTAATTAACAATAAGGATTAGGCATGCGACAATCAACATAGAAACCGCTACGCACTTAATCTCTGTTCAATCAGATAACATTGTCAGCGCTATGAACTTTAAGTTAGATATTTTCTACAAAAACATTATTATCATTTATAAAAAGTGATGTAATTTAGTCATAGATATTGTTTAGGAGTTATATAGGTAATTTTGATTTCTTTAGTCCAACCTAAGTAGCTCTGTAGGAAAATAGAAAAAGCCATCATTCATATTGAATAACAGTTTTAATTGGAACCCTCAATCAGCTTACTGACCAAGCTGTTCGGATATTAAGATATACAAACAGATAAATATATATACATATATAAAAAAATATAATATCATCATTATACATAGTATAAAACAAAATCGCTGTCGCTGTCTGTCGGTCCTTATGTCTGCTAAAATCTTTAAAATTACGCAATGTATTTCGAAGCGGATTTTATTTTAACGGGACGGACAGACAGCGACAGCGACTTTGTTTTATATTAATACTCTGTAATGATACATGTACCTGTACCCGGGCAAGTAGCTAGTACCCATATAAAAACTCATTTTGTGAGTAACGCCTGTATATTCTCGCTGTATTTGTGTTATAGAATTTCTTTAACAAACAATCCATTACGTTCTCCATTTAGCCGATCCAATAGACCACCAAAAGGCGAATTTAAGCTTGAATAACGTTTAATCGAGATAGAATATTCTAGTACGGTAAAGAGTTCGTGGGCTTTTCTCTGTTCGTCTGCCAGTAATGGATTGAGGGCGTATGAGGAAGGGAGAAGGCAATTTTATATTCATAACGTTGTCTTTATCATTTACTTACTATATACCTACTTATATTTGACGGCCACGGTGGTTTAGCGGTTAAGCACAGAGCTTTACTTCGCTGTCGCGGGTTCGATTCCTCGTACGGCACAAACTTTTAAATAAATATTGATTTACTTATATTTAATTAACAACAAGGATTAGGCATGCGACAATCGACATAGAAACCGCTACGCACTTAATCTCTGTTCAATCAGATAAAATTGTCAGCGCTATGAACTTTAAGTTAGATATTTTCTATAAAAACATTATTATCATTTATAAAAAGTGATGTAATTATAAGGTTAAGCACACAGCCTTACTTCGCTGTCGCGGGTTCGATTCCTCGTACGGCACAAACATTCGTATTCATGAGTATGATTGTTTGTATCGCTATGGGTGTTTTCTATATATAATATGTATATATTTATGAAAAAAATATGACTATGTATTTTTAGCAGGTAGCTCATGTAATAAGGAGTAACTTAGGCTAGTCTTATTTTAGAAAAATAAAGTTTAATTCCACACGGACGAAGTCACGAGAACTGCTCTTCTAAGATATATTGGGAAACTGTAACTAGCTTAGTTAGTACCGATGGATCATAATATGTAATAATAATAATAATAATAATCTCAGGACAATTCACACAGCGCAATCTAGTACCCATAACACAAGCTTTAGCTAGCTTATCTTGGGACTGGATGGCGCTATGTGAATTGTCCTGAGATTATTATTACTTAGTAATAAAGAATTACACTGTATTTTTTTATTATCTGACATATTTATAATTTTATTAAGCAAAATATACAGTTAGTAAGTTAAATAAAGGAATTGTAAGGTCAATATTAAATAGAGCATTCAAAATGCAAACGGTTTTATTTTCATTTTGTATCTTACTAGGTAATATTTGTGAGCATGGATGGATAGATCGATGTTTGTTACTCTTTCACGCGAAAACTACTGAACAGATTTTTATGAAACTTTACAGTAATATAGCTGTGCACGACGCACCTCTTTGTATATTATTTATGTATTTTGTCTATTATTTTATATAGAAAAATGTATATGACATTGTCAATTCTTGTTCTGTTAATTATTATACTTTTGTACATAATATTATATTATTGCTTCCTAAAACCCGTGTTTGCATAATTATATTCACATTTTTGGTCCTTCTCCCATAATTTATTAACAAATTTCTAAATTTTAAATTCACAATTTTATAAATATGGAAACACGGTCGGGTCGTAAACTAGGATCGGCAAACCCTCGTACGGCAAAAGCGTTGCCATTGTCATTACCGGCAGAGGAAACGCAATCTGATGCCCGCGCCACGGCGCTGGTGTCGACCGTACCACCGATCGCGGTTAGTACTCACAGTACATCGGCCTGCAGCCGCTCATCTGCCACGATACGTGCTAAAAAACTTGCAGCTCAAATACAGCATGCACACCGCCTTGCACAAATTGAAATGGAGGCGGCAGAAGCTCGTCGTGCTAAGTTGGAGGCGGCGAGGAAGGAATACGAAGCAGAAATTGAAGCAATCAGTTCCCGGGGCAGCCGATCTGGTAGTCGTGCTAGTGTTCATCGTAGCTGCTCGGAAGTTGTGGACAAATGGTTAGATAACAATAATTATCCTATTTCGTCTCAATTTCTTAATAATCCGCAAATTCCTACGGTAAACACACATCCCCCTACTGTCACCTTAGTTGAACCGATCGCTGCCTTAGTATCGGCAGTAGATAAGTTGACAGATAAAATTACCGCTCCGAAAGGGATTAATATAAAACTTCCTCATTATGATGGAAAGTCCCCTACGGAATGGCTTTCTTTTAAACGTGTGTTTCAGGACACACAGTCTGGTTATTCACCAACAGAGAACTTAGCTCGTCTGAGCCGTAGCTCAGACGAGCTAAGTTCTCTGTGCGTATATAATGCGTACATTACGAGGTATCGCGCGAGAGTCTGTTGACAAGCTCTTAGTGACTGCCCGAGACCCAAATATTGTCATGCGTGCGCTCGAGGTTCGATTTGGACGACCAGATTTAATTATATTACAAGAACTTTATTCAGTGAGATCGTTGCCGAGGTTAGGTAACGATAAAGATCTAGCAACATTTGCTAGTAAAGTTCGTAATTGTGTAGAGACTCTACGCTTATTAGATGGCGGTGACTATATAAAATCACCTGAATTATTTAATATATTATTATTAAAACTACCTATTGTGTTAAAAAGTAGATGGTATGATTTTGCTATTTCTCATGAATATAGTGGTCAAAACAAGCTAGAAATGCTCGCTGAATTTTTATGTCGTGAGGTTGAGATTCAGGCTAAATTTGGTGTCACGGATTACTTCAGTTTTAACACAACTTCCAATATTGACAGGCATAAAAAACCAGAACGTGTGAATGCCGCGGAAGTGTATGATTTGCTGGAGCAGTCGTCACAAACATTCGAGACGGGTTCCTGTATTGAAACATCTCTTACAACGGCTGAAAATTCATTAAAAAATTCATCAAAACAAATTTGTACATATTGTAAAGGATTTCACGCATTAGTCAATTGTAATAAGTTTTTGGCATTGACAGTTCATAATAAATGGCATTTCGTTAAAGAAAATAAATTATGCCAGAAATGTTTAAAAAGAGGTTCACATAATTATAATACTTGTCGTACTAAAGGACTTTGCAATAAAGCCGGTTGCACACATAAACATCACAAGTTACTTCATAATCCAAATTTTATTAATTCAGCAGCTAATATACAGGTATCTGAAGAGTCAAGTCGGCCAATGTCACATGCAGGTAATGATAATGCAGAGCAGTCTCCGTCGGAATTGGTATCACAGACATCTTCTGTTAGTACCACTACTTCTTGTAAGCCATTACTAAAGATTGTCGCTGTCACAGTATCTGGTCCCGCGGGTTCTGTTGATACTTTCGCGTTACTGGATGACGGGTCCACGGCTACCTTCATTGACTCAGAAATTACCTCTCAGATTGGAGTAACAGGTACAGTAGAACAAATTGAACTGCAGTGTGTTGGTGGCTTATCAAAACAGTCGCAAGTCGAGTATGTTGACTTTCAAATAAAAGGAAAGAGATCTGCTGATTCCTTTGTCATCAAACAAGCTAGATCTATTAGTAACCTCGGACTGGCGAATCGAAATGTCAATAAGAGTGATGTTCTTGCATTTCCATATTTGTTAGATATAGCTGACGAATTATGTTATAATGCCAAACCTACCATTATAATCGGTATAGATAATTGGAATTTGTCTGTTCCCATGGCAGTAAGACAGGGAACTAGTTCTCAACCTGTTGCCATTCTTACGGTACTAGGGTGGGTTCTTTTCGGGTTTGTAGCGAATAGAACAAATACTGTTCATTTTGTAAATAATGTATGTGATTACTATTTAGGTAGTGACAAGTTACGAGTTGTCAATAATGCAGTTGCCAAATTAGGAGTTAGTTCAAATTTACCTTTGCGTGAACCAGATCTCTTGAAATCTTTTCTTAATATTGTAAATCGTTTTTACGAGGAGAGTGTCATAATTAACGATGACATTAAAGCAATATATCCTCAGGTTAAAATCCACAACGTATATTGTGATGCGCAACGTTTTACTTGGAGAGACAGTTCTAAAAAACCATTGAAAACATATCTTATGTCTTCAATGATATATGGCGCTGCATCGAGTCCGTTCACGGATTTGCCAATTAATAATAAATCTCGTTATCAGTTTCCTAGAGTCACACACGTCATCTTTCATGATCATTATATAGACAACTACATTACGAGTAGGTATAGAGTCTGTTGAGAGATTTACTCGTTTACTAGCTGTTATTCATACATATTGGGAGGTTAATTTTGAGATATTTGATGAACCAAGCGTGCTGTCACTGATATCAAAGTATTTGTGCTTTAATCAATCATTAGATGAGTTTCATGTAGAAGTAGTTAGCGCACCAGTACATGCACTTGGTTTATTATGACTCCCAGGGACGAGTTTATTGACTGACACTACTTATCTTCATTACTTTAATAGAACTATTTGAACTAAAATTAAAGTACATAGCTGCATTAATGCCAACGTTCATCAATTTTTCACATTTACATTTGTCACTCATCTGTGCCAGAACATTTTAGTTGATAGTTTACAACATTAATTATAACCGCAATTGCGTATAAATTGATTTTTTTATATTGCGACTGCGTAGTTTATGTTTACAATTTATACATTTAAAATACTTGATATTTCTAAATTAATTAAATTAAATTATTGTATTTTCTGTCTTTTATAGATATTTTTATTAATGTAACGGCACTAACTTCGCGCGTTAACGTCTTATATTTGAAATACCCTGATGGTTGAAGATTTCAATATATCTGAGATATACGTCATATTCAATATTCAAGAAGATGCCTTTAGTGATAAGATTGCTTGTGTTGCTGACCACTGGCTTCATAAACCTCAAAGTTAACTGTATTATCTCCACAGAATGGTCCTGACAAACTACACTGCTCGTATGGTATTTATCTTAGATGTCAGCGACGAAGTCAAGTTTCCTCTTGTTTTAGATAGAGAACATATTAGTACATACAGATGGTTCTCTGAGTTATGAAGGTGAGAGAGCGATAAGGAACTCCAAAGGTAGAGATTATTACAACATTAGCGGAGGTGGACAGCCTTATCAACAGATTTTTGGCCATGCAATTAAATTTTTGAAGGAGTTTCTTGTCAGTCCGACTGAGATTGCGATTTCATTTCACACGGTAACTGGAGGATTACAGTATGCTTAAGCTTTGGAGTTGATGGGTGAGAGAGTGCTTCCCAAGACTATTATCTCGTCATTCAAACTCAAACTCAGATTGAACTACCACTATTGGAGACATTCTTATAATAGCCGATGGAAACTTTCCCCGAGGTAGATGGCCCCGATGACGTGTGGTTACTTTTTCCCTGAAGAATTGGCTGATGTTCAAACAAGGATGTTCAAGCAGTTGAAGAAACTCTAAAACGTTCTTTAAAAAAGTTAGTGCCGATAGTGATGTCATAGTTCGTACTTCATATAATTTTTCTTTATGTATAATGATTCATTTACTTTTCTTTTAGTATTATTGTTTTGTCATTGTTCCAGTATAAAAGCTGAGTTTAGTTTAGTTCACTAAATTGAAGACTCTTGTTCTTTTGATCTTTAGACTATGTGCACGACGCACCTCTTTGTATATTATTTATGTATTTTGTCTATTATTTTATATAGAAAAATGTATATGACATTGTCAATTCTTGTTCTGTTAATTATTATACTTTTGTACATAATATTATATTATTGCTTCCTAAAACCCGTGTTTGCATAATTATATCTACCAGCCCGATATATAGACAGTTCTTCGTTCACAATAGCTTATACATCAGAATAATACATAGGGTCTAAATTTAATGTGGATGAAACCATAGACCGTAGAGTATTTATTAAATAGCTGTGTAGTGATCCTGCTCTAATTACAAAGACTATGTGTACCTTAATAGTAAAAAAATTTAATTAAAAAAAAAATTGAAGTCCATAAGTGGCTAAAATAATTTTTGATTTGATTTGATTTGATTTGATCATCAAACTCGCTTCTCTAATAGTGGTTTTGGTGTCAGAAATATCCATGACCCCAAGTCTGCCCCTGTCAAACACCCCCTTTCAACAGCCGAGATGAACTAATTCCATTATGAAAGTCTTTTCGTTCTCCCCAAATTGGCATAATCTTGTTTTTGTTGGGATTAAAAACAATTTATCAAAAGAATTGTTTGCCGCTTCAAACAAAGTGGAATTGAAACGGAACGAGTCCTGAATCGTTTAAACAGATGTCGCGAGGAAAATGTCGGCGAATGTAGTTGGTTCTTTGATAATATTATTAATTATTTATATAAAAAAAAACATCTATTAAAAAGAGCAACACACAAGTTTCTTGCTCATTCTTCTTGTGATGAATCTGCATTCCGAATGAGTGGTGGAATCAAAATATGACTATTCAAAAGTGCTTGTAATGAGTTTATTTGAATAAAGATTATTTCTATTTCTATTTCAATAAATATACGATATTTAACTTAATCAAATGAAATCAAAAATAATTTATTCGTGTACGCCATTTTAGTCGCTTATGAAAATCAACTTTTTTATATTAACCTTTCTCTTTACATATATTTCAGTATATAGATTCAATTGATAAGAACTGGTAAGAAACTCAACGGAATTTCATTTTTTAGAAGTCAGTCTGGCAACGTATTTCCAAAAACATACATATCTATATACTTACGTCTATATTTAAAATAGCAAACAATACGACCCACTTTGTGATAAATTGAACTATGTACATAAAACGAGAATACGGCCTGCCTGTTGGTAGGTGCTAAATGGAATACGTGAACAGCACCACAGATAAAACATGTAGAAGGTGAACTGTCACAGCATGTTTTAGTATTCAAATTCTGCATAATATCCAGACGATTCGACAGCCTCGAGGGTCTAGCTGTGTTTCAGTGCTTATTTCTTTTTTACCTTCGATTCCCCTCCGATCGATCCCCCGTCCAATTTAAACGGGGATCGAAATTACGACGGCTTGAGCTGAGGTTCGAACCCCTAATGCACCTTCAGACTAAAGTCGTATCCTTCAGGCGCTCCATAAGTCCTACAGCGGGTGTGGAGTGCCATCTGCACTCACTCCCTATCGTTCGGTGAAGCTGTAAAGGCTAGTTGCGCCCAACTGCATTAGAGTAGTCCAAAAAAAAAAAGATCAACTATTTTTGCAAGTCCACTGCCGCTACTAGTTCGGATTTTATGTCCATAGCATGGGAGTACTCCATAATAAACCATGGTATTTTAAGCTTACTCTCAGCGTTCCACTTCATAAATCTTTATAACAATATCCAACGGGAACAATCGAATCTATTTAAATAAATGATGGCCAATTGATTACAAAGCGTGGGCAAGTATAATCCGTTTTAAGCCGTGCCGGGCAGAACCGGGCAGAACCGGGTATAGTCTGGATTACATTGCCATGAATACCCGGCCTCCATAATCTCCTGGTATTGTTGATTGCATAATTGTAGGATTAGATTGTAAAAACGTGTGTTTTAACCCTTTTAGTGATATAATTTATTTGCCAAAGAAATTTTTTATTTATTTACATGCTCTCGGTGAGATTTACAGTATAATACCAATGCACTAATGCTAGCAATGTAACATGTCAGATCGACCTCCACGCGGTTCCCCCTGAAAACCATCGTGATACATTCCCGGTGAATTAGTCACGTTGGGCTAACTGATCTGACTTCATGTTCATCTTATCATCCTCCACTGGTGCCCCGCCAGCATAAACCGTTAGCGCAGGCGGGTGCACCATTCTATTATCATCCTTTAAAAAAAAATACCAATGCACTCATCAAGGATCAAATTTACGCAATACATTACATTAATAGTAATAATAATTATAATAACAATAATAATTTAGACAAGAATAATACCTATTCTAATATTGTGATTCCACGAAATTTGTTACCGCTTTGTGAAACTCTGGGGCAGTACAGTTAAATATGTCAAGTGGACAAATTACAGATAAATAATAACCTGGACCCTGGTATTTATTTATTTATTTATTTGCAGAAAACAGTGTTACAAATAGGTCTTACAATATGAATATTAGTCCAATGTATTCAGTCTGCAAACAGCCACGCAAAATTATTTTTACAGAAGACCGAAGAGCTGGCAGCTACCTTGGACAAAGAATTAGTCTAGCTATTCAAAGAGGGAACGCTGCCAGTATCTTCGGAACGTTGCCTAAAGGGACCCCTTTTAATAATATATTTTAGTCATCATATTATATTTTTTTAAGCTTTTTAATTTTAGGTTCTTAGTTGTACAATTAGGTTATGTAAATAATAAATTAATATAATATTATTTTTTAAAATATTTGTAATAATTAAATTAAATTGTTTATATATTAAAATATGTCAACAACTAAGATTATTTTACATGCAAGAAAAATCCTTAATACTATAAAAACAATTTTCTAATAAAGTCTAGATTTAAAAAGTCTAAAATTGTGCATATTTATGTCAGTTGGCAATCTATTGTCAATTTTAATCATCATGTTGGAATATAATACACAGCGCCATCTAGACCCAAGTTAAGCTGGCTAAAGCTTGTGTTATGGGCACTAGATAACTGATACATATACCTAAAAATTATTTTTGTAAACACATACATATTATACATAGAAAACGCCGAGACCGATACAAACAATCATACTCATGAATACAAATGTTTGCACCGTCGGAGAAATCGAACCCGCGACCATCACAAGGTGATATTCTTAACCATTAGACCAGTCAGGTTGACCTCCACACAGTTCCATCCCTGGAAACCATCGTGATAAATTCTTGCTGAATTTGTCACATTGGGTTAACTGACCTAACCTCATGTTCATCTTATCATCATCCACTGGTGCCCCGCCAGCGTAAACCGCTAGCGCAGGCGGGTGTACAATTCCATTATCATCCATAAAAAAACCGACCACAAGGCAGTCTATAGTCAG